TACAATAAAAGACATATTTCCAAGAATAGTGAGATAAGTGTGTTCAAAGTGAGAGGGGATAGTCTCCGTATGTGGAGCTAATGGCAACGTGTCATTTACTACATTTTTTTTAAATTTTAACATTCACTAATTTTTATGACACCTCTTATATATCAAGAGCAGAGGGATCATGATTTTTTTCACTTAAAAATTGTGCCATCTCCTTTCTTTACCAGCCAGTGCCTTCAGCACTGAGTAAACTCACAGTGTTTGTTCACATTTCCCTTCCATGGGAAGCCCTTCTAACCAATTTTCAGAAGCCCTGAGTCAACACTAGTCAACATTATCAAAAATAAAAATCAGAGCATATCTGCTACCTCCTGAAAGATTTGAGCTTTTTTTAAAAAAATGAAGCTGTAGGGAGGAGCGGGTGAAGGGAGGGTAGGGACAAGGAAAAAATGAGAGCCAAGACCTGTCATGTAGAGGTACAAGATCCCAATGATGAATGTAACTGTACTGTATACCTAAAATGCACCAATAAACTCAATGAGAAAAAAAAATGAAGCTGTGAAGAATGCTACTTCCAAAGTTCAAAACAATACCTTCTTACTCAACAGTATCACTCTCCTCCCATGTGCTACTTCCCACAGGAATATCTGACTGTAATAATAGACCATATGTTTGTAGCAGAAAGATACAGAAAAGACATAGATGTACATTATGGGGGGAAATGGCTGTTTAAGTAAATGCTGTCTCGAATATGTCAACTTTGGCACTATTTTAAAGCATACAGTTACACTCAAGAATAGTTAGGTCAGGTCAGTGTACTGGGGATATTTTAGATTCTAACAGTTGCTATTAACCACCCAGTGGGAAATGCCACTCTGGAAATCTCAGACATAAAACATGGAGACGCCCATCTTCTGGTAATTTATTCCAGCTCAAAGAGCAGATATTTATAGGTTACAAGGCACTGCCTGTTAATAGGTCAGATCTGTACCAACACTAATCCAGGCAGATGATTTTCTATATGAATGTGCATTTTAAAACTCCGAAGCTATAAGCCTAGTGTTTGTGTTCCTTTAAGTCATGCTTGTGACCAACAATAGTCCAAACTCAATAACTCAACCCATCAATTCACCAGTGATCAAGGGCCATGCATAGTTGCTTTGTGAGTTATGCTTTCCCTTTCTGCTAAACCTCACATTAACATCTCCCCTTGGACCTTCTGAGACCCCTTCTAATATGTCCAAAATGAACAGCCTGGAAACCAATCTAGGAAAATTTCACACTGTACAATCCTATGATGAGAGGAAGATCTGTTAAGGTCTTAATATATCTTATTTTCATATATTAGCAACAAAAGAAGATCACAAATTTCTCAATGTTAAAGGAAAAAAAAGGCCTCAGAAAAGCACCAGCCACCAAAACTTTTTTAAAAAAAAGAATCTCTTTTATGCCCATCTATGAAATGCCACCATCGTCCACCCTCTTTCACCCTGGCCATGAGTCTGTCCATCTGTGTCACTGACACAAGGTCTACCCTTCCTTCGCCAAAGGGAAGACAGAACAGAGCCAGAGACCTGCTGGGCCACCAGCCTCCCCCCAGTGACAGACGCGGGCTCTGCCTAAATCACCAGTAAAAGAGAAAACACATTAAAGGGCCTCTCGTTCCTCTGAAAATAGACATGAATCCACATCGTAAAACTGCCATACCATCAGGAAAGATTTACTAGTTTTTCAGGAGACATGAAGGCTGAAAATAACAGGGGTCTGAGGCTAAATAGTATAAGCAAGGAACTTTGTGAGTGGCATTGGCCACCTCCCACCCCAGGAAGGATGGAGTAGCTTTGCAAAGCTCAAAAAAAATTTAAGGAGAAAGGAAACACAAAAAGCATTCTTTTAATCCTTCATGCTCAATAAAGACTGTGCAGACATAAAATCCCTCATTTAAATGCCTGAAGTTTTAATATAAAATGTATTGTACAAGATTTTATTACCATTAAATGCTTACTGCAATCCAACAAAAGAAGAAACTGACCTTGATTCTAAATCTTCGGCTTTTTCTCCCTTTATTATTCTTAGTTATTTACTGAACATACTTTCATTATTTTTTCTTTTTAGAGAAATAATGATTTTCCCTAGAAGTTTAGAAAATATGCATTATTTTCTCAAAACAGTCCAACACATTGTTTCACAAAGAAATGCTAGTGCAAGAATAATTCCTACTCTGAAAACCAAAGAAACTCAATCTTGAAAAATAATAATGGAAACTGACTTCCTCTGGTCCTACAGACCCAATTTGAGGAGAAATAAAAAAGAAATTCAGAGAGCAAGTGGTAAGGCAAAAGGAATGGAAATGATGAAAATATAACCTATCTGGAAGTTATAAACAGGAAATATTTAGGAAGAAATAAAGGAGACAAACATGATCACTTTTCTGGTAAAAATAGTCACAGATGAATGTAAAACTAAAACATTATATCAATAAGGTTACAGGTATCAGTTAAAGTGCCAAAAAGTGACAAATGGCACACTCAAATTGGACAATTAGTTGTCTGAATAAGAGTTCATTCGCTAAAGTGGGGACCATGTTTAGGGAAAGCTCAAGGGCTAATGCATCCCCAAGGGCTAAGAAGAGCAGGAAACTGTTATGCTGCTACGCTGAAAAAAACAAGGGAAAGGAGCAGTTATTAAAACCAAGCAAGGAGAACTGCATGGAGAGGGCAAGAGTTTTAGCATTCAAGAAAGAACCCGTCATGCTAGGCAGAGTGGCACACACCTGCAATCCCAGCACTCTAGGAAGCTAAAGTAGGAGGATAACAAGTTTGAACCCAGCCTGGGCAACTCAGCAACTTAGTGACAGTGTCTCAAAATCAAAATTAAAAAGGGTTGAGGATGTAGCTCAGTGTGAAAGCCCTGGGTTCAATCCCCAGAGCACGATAAGGAGACAGATAGATCCTCGCTACCCACATATTCCAGAGCCCTAACTGTGCATCCTATTTGCCCAACCTAACTGAAAGCCAAAGAACAAAGTCATTCATTGATGTAGTTTCTATTGGTTTATCTCCCAGGGCACAGCGTACAGTGGTGGCAAATGGAGAGTGGATCTGTAAGGACAAACAAAAGATACCCAGTATGTGATGGCCAAACAGTCCAAACAAACAAACAAAAAAGTAAAAATTCCATCAAACCAAACATTTAGAACCTCATAATAAGAATGGTGAATTCACATACACCTCTGTCAGACAGCTCTCGATTCAAACAGAATCCAGTTCTGCCAATAACTCTGAGGATGACAGTCTGACAATTGAGCCTTAGTTTTTTCCACTGTGAAATGAGGATAATGTCACAGACTTACTTAAGAATCATGCCTAAGACAACACCAAGCATTTCACAGACAGTTGATAAATACTGGTTCAACTACCCTGCCCATTCATGCTCTTTTGCTCTCTATAGACTCATAACTGAATTCATATCACAAAGAAGATAAGGAGGGTGCAGTCAAGTGTCTTTTGTGGGTGTAGAAACCATTGCAAAATAATTCTATTAATTCCACCATTAATTTCTATGATTTTGCCCAGCAAAGGATTAGCCAGACAATGGACCAAAGTGGCCCAACTCAGATCTTTGGAAGGTTCCCTCTTCTACCTGGTTCTCTCTTCCAGGCACCATGGCAGTGGCACTAGATATGATGGAATTGCCTCTAGACATGTCATGTGCTCAGGCTACAGTGTAGCTGGCAGATCTTTATCCTTCTAGACTTGATGTTCTTTATTCACCCTGAATCAGAAGCAAGTGAGCACTGTAATGAGACTGACACCAGGTTATACACAAATCCCTTCTAAGACTCTAATGGTAGGATCTTTTTAAAAAAAGAAGAATGCTTGTGTCTTCCTTTAGTCTTCTGAGAGCCTCTCCACCTCATCCCTCAGGGCCATTCCCCCAGCACAAAGTTCGCTACCACACTCTAGCTTTCATGAGACATGAGGAAAGAAACTTTACAGCTCTTTTAGTAATAACTTTCTCCACACGGCTGCACAAAGGATTTCTCTGGGAACAAGGGACCAAGTTTCACAGTTGCATAAATATAAACTAAAGTAGAAATCCATCTTTGAGTCCGCAGGCACGCAGTCAACATTCCCATTTTTCAAGAGTCTCAAGGTCATTCTTCACTCTGTGTTCTTTCGTCTCCCTTTAAAGTTAAGCTACTTTAATAATTCATGACATCATACCCATTAAAATATGAGTATTTTCTACCAAAGGAAACAGCACTTTTTCCTCTCCTGAGTGGAAGAGGCCCAGACAAGCCCCTGCATAGGAAAATAGGGACATTCTAAAGCTGCACTGATGAAGTTTCGGAGAGAGGCTTGCAATTTCGCCTGCCACTGCACACAACCAGTTTTATCATGAAAAGCCAGCACCATATGCCAGAGAAGACAGGTTAAGCCTCTTAAATGTTCCTGACAACAATGAGCTTTCATTTGTAAAAAGTAAACATCTGTCTCATGTGGAAATAATCCACAAAACAATGGGGATGGTTATTTGTTTGTTTGATTTATTGTGATCGCAAGGAAGTGGGGAAGTTTCAGACACGCACGATGCACGATATGTCAAAAAATGGATAATTTCTTAAATATTTTAAAAACTAATCTGCAACCTTCTTTTAAATGCATCATAAAGGAGCCCATGTGCTATAAATATTTACAGAAAGGAACTGCTGATTTCGAAGATTAGGAAAGATAAGACCAGGTTCCATACATTGGCTCTGCCACTGCTAGCTACAAATACTGGGCAAATTATTTAACTTCTCTGGGCCATATCTGCCATATCTGTAAATGAGAGTCAAAATTAAATCTATTCTACAAAGTGAAAGGGTTATAGGGCATTGATGATTTATGACTTTAGAAGTCTTTGTAAACTGTACAGCAAAACAAATGTTAAGACATTTTGCTCTACACTTTTAAAAGTCAATAGGCAGAAGATTTATTACCCACATAAAAAAAGAAATCTCCTCTTACTTATGGATCTTTCCTGAAAATGCCTGCAGTCCCCAGTTTATCTCACTAGAGCTGAGTGTGCAGATGGTCACTTGAATGTTGCCTGGAAAAGCAGGGACCATGGAAATCATGCCTGGAAAGAAGGAAAGATTGCCATGATCACTGTCATCATCACCACCACCATAATCCTCTATGATTTACAAAACTCCCCACTTGGATATTTTTAATTTGATTCTCATAAAAGCTCTAAGTGGGAAGGTTTATTAAAAGATGAGAAAACATATTCAGAGAAGCTCTAGATCATGTAAAGGTAACAAAGACAACATTAAAACCCAAGCACAAGGAGAGAGAAAATAGTAATGATTGTCCACTCCTTCTCCTGCCCTATTGGCCCTGTGACATGGCCCCTGTAACTCTCCCTCTTACCTTCCTTGCCTGTCTCTCTTCTCTTACAAGTATGAGAGGGCCTGACTCTTGATCACCTCTGATCCTCCTATAAATCCCCAACACAAAACTTGGCACATAAGTACCTAAAAGGATTTGCTGAATGAAAAGGAAAAGAAAGTAAAGAGTAGGGGAGAAAATTATCGTGGTTTTGGCCTTTCTTTTTTTCACCCTTAACTTACAGAAAAACCTCTTTACGTCTAAAATTTCAGGTTATGGGAACCTGCCTTTCTCTTGGGCTCAATTATGGAATCCATAGTTAGTTGGAAGGAAGCTGGTGAGTGCAAGCTAGATTCAGAGATGCTCCAGGCATGTGTAGCTGGTTTGGAAGGAGATATGAAGGGGAAAGGGGGATAAAGCAAAAAGCCTCCAGAAATAATTAAACACTCAAGGACATAGGAGCAAGAGCCTGACCAACAAGGCAGTCTCAGATAATAAAAGCAGTCAACACTGAAACTGGAATGGGGTAAGGGGCAGCAAGGATGCCGTAGCCTCAGTATAGCAAGTGTTCTATGAGTTGCATCTTCAAGCAAATAATCAAATACATCTGAGCTTAATGACACCTGTGAAGGATTAGATCAGCTAATTCAAGCAGGCCATTGACAAAAGAACATTCTGCACAAAAGCTTGCTTTAGCCCTAACAAACTGCACAGGTGTAAACTTTTCCCACCACAACTGTGTACTCTTCCCAGTTATACCAACAATTCATTCTCCAGATCTACCACCCTGGTACATTTTTTCTTTTTTTTTTTTTCTTTTCTTCTTTTTTTAATTTGAAGATGTCAAACCTTTGCAAAAGTATAGAACATATAATATATCCTCATGGGTTCATTCTCTAGCTTCAGCACTGATTATCTCATGGCCAGTTTTGTCACACCCATACTGGCTCTTTCCCTATCCTTGCCTTAGATTATTTTGAATCAAATCTTAGACGGTCGGTACTTCATCCATAAAACTTTCAAAATCCAAAGACAGTGGCTCTTTTTATGTCTTTTGGCTTTTTTTTCTAAGGTACTAAGGATCAAATCCTGGGCCTTTGTACTGAGCTGCACTCCCAGCATTTTTTTTTTTTTAAGACGGGGTTCTCATTAAATTGCTACTTTGTCTACCCTGGGCTCCAACTTGTGATTCTCCAGCCTTCCAGAATGCTGGATTACAGGAATTAGTCCCTGTGCCCCCTGCTTCTGGTATCGTTTTTAATATTCTTCATCTTTTATATCCAGTTTATCACTAACTCAAAATAGTTATTTTCCTATTATAGTTTATTTTTCCATTTTGTTTGCATTTCTGCAAACCATAACCTCATCTTAGCTCTCAGTTTAGAATACTGAAAACACTTTAAATGTTCTGACTCTTCTTACCCTGTGTTCCACAAGCATGGGAATGGGGGTGAATATAATCAAAATAGATTATCCACAGTGAAACCCAATATTTTGTAGAAATAAAAAGCACTATAATAAAAGGGGGGAAAAAGAATCCACGGTGAGAACTTACTTTTTCCTTAATTTACCATCCTGCCAAAACAAGTAAAAATTGAACAAAATATAAAAGGAAACTGCTTTCACAAATAACATCTAAAACTTATAAAACTAATTTCTTGAGAGACAGGAGGCTCCCACCAACACCAAAGGAAAGGTTTCCAGCTGTGTGGTAGTAAGCCAGAGCCCAAAAAAAGCACAGCTGGTGAGTTTGAATAGACAGAAACCATAGTTTCAGGTAGCTGACATGAGTGGATTTCATTACAGCATAAAATTTAGAAAAGCTAAGCAGAGCAGCCCTCACAAGTCCATGTAGGGATCTCCACAAGTTCTTAGCCAAGGACTGAACTGTACACGTATAAGAAGATTTAGACAAGGCTAATTAGAATGTGGCGGTTATAAGGTTCAGACCAGAACAAAGATTCTAGAGGTTTAGCAGTGTTAGGTAGTACACATACTGGGCAAATTATTTAACTTCTCTGGGCCATATCTGCCATATCTGCAAATGAGAGTCAAAATTAAATCTATTCTACAAAGTGAAAGGGTTATAAGGCATTGATGATTTATGACTTTACAAGTCTTTGTAAACTGTACAGCAAGAAGGGACAGCTCACCAAGAGGGAACAGATATTGATATCTTGTTCAAGGCCCAAGCACCCAGCTAAAATACCAGAAATGCCACTATTCCTGATTTAGAATTGTTGACATCTGCGAGCATGCTCACCAAAGTTCAGGAGCTTGAAACCGCGGAATCACCACGCCCACTCCGTCGAGGTTTCTGGAACGCTTCCGCTTTATTCCAGAAAATGCACAGACTTATATAGGGAACCATGGGGGCGGAGCATGGGAGGAACGTTTAACGTTTGGCGATATCTTATTGGCCAGACGTGGCGGAGTGATTTTTCTTGGGAGAGGCGATGGAGTCACGGACTAGGGGCGGAGGTGTAGCCTGTTGGATTCAGCATCTACGCACTTAAGTGAGTTTAGCAAGTTAGCTCAGCCTTAGCAAGGTCTCTGAGTTAGCTCAGGAGACAGGAGTGCGGAGCACCTGGCCCAGCCAGGTTTGAACTTCTCCCACATAGAATCATACCTCAAATGAGGCTTACAATAGCACACCCTCCTGGAGTATCAAACAGCCTAAGCACAATTGAAATGCCACAAAAAACAAACAGATTAGAGATTGAATCCTACTAGGTAAAAGGGCTTTTTAAATACCTTGGGATTTCCACAGATACTCATTAAGAAAGGAAAAAAACAAACAAACAAACAAACCCTAACCAAGTCCAGCATGCTATATTGGTAATCCAATTACCAAGTTTTAAAAAACGAATGGAGAGACATCACAAAATACAGTCTCTACCCTGATTAACCTACAATATCCAATATGCAATCAAAAGACATACCAAAAAAAAGAAAAATGTAATTCATAGTCAAGAAAAAAGGAGATAGCAGAAACCAACCTGGTGTCCCATATATATAACTTACAAAGAAGGCATTATAAAAATATTCAAAGAATTAAAGGAAGCTATTTCAAATCATTGAATGAAAATAACATCTTAATAAATGAAATCTTAATAAATGAATTTTAGCAGAAACATTAAAAATATTAAAAATGAAAGCTCTAGAATAAAAATAGTGTAACTAAAATGAAAAAAATCACTACATGGGGTTTCAGTAAATTAAAGATTGTCAAAGAAAAATTTACTGAACCCAAAGATAAATCAATAGAAATTATCCAATCTAAAGGAAAAAGAGAGAAAGAGAATAAAAATGAATGGTGCCTCAAAGGCTTAAGAAGAAAATCAAATAGAAATATTTAATTGGAGTTCTATAAACCAAAGAAAGCACTGACTCACCTCTGTTTTATTGTTTCATTTCTTGAATATAGGCATTCTTTCTGGAGTGAGATGAAAACTCAGTGTTGTATTAATTTGCATTTTTCAAATGGCCATCAATGTTGAACATTTTTTCATGTGTTTATTGGCCATTTGTATTTATTTTTCTAAGAAGTATCTATTCATTTTAGATACCCAGGTTAGGTGTTTAAATTTGGGAAATTCTAATTTTTTTTAATTCTTTATAAATTAGTCCTTTGAATAACTGGCAAAATTTTTCACATTCTGTAGTAAATAATACACTCTTGAATAATCAAGGAGTCACAGAAGAAATAAAGGAATAAATTAGACAGTTCCTAGAATCAAATGATAATACCAGTACATTATATAAGACACAGTGACAGCAGTCCTAAGAGGGAAGTTTATAGCTGTAAAAGCCTATGTGAAGAAAACAGAGTGAGCCCAAATAAATAACCTAGTGATGCACCTCAAGGTCCTAGAAAAACAAGAACAGCCCAATTCTAAAGCTAGGACAAGGAAGGAAATTAAAAGTTCAGAGTAGAAATTATCAAAATTGAGACCAAAAAGTACAAAACAGTGAATGAAAGAGCTGGTTCTTTGAATGAATAGATAAACCCTTAGCCAATAATTTTTAAAAAGAAAGAAAAGACCCAACTCAATGCAATTAGAAATGAAAAAGGTGATAATGGGACACTTAGCAAATAGGAAGAAAAGGACCAAAGGTGTAGGGACAGTGAGAAGGATAGGGAAGGGGAAATAAGGGAAAAGGAAAAAAATATGAGAAAATGTAAAAATGGAGTTAAAGTGTTTGAAGCAGGGAGGGGAGGGTGAAGGGAGGGTGGGGACAAGGGGAAAAATGAGATCCAAGACCTGGCATGTGAAGGTACAAGATCTCAGTAATGAATGTAACTGTACTGTGTACCTAGAATGTACCAACAAATTAAATTTTTAAAAAAAGAAATGAAAAAGGTGAAATCACAATGAACACTGCTGGCATCCAGAAGATTATTAGTAACTACTTTGAAAATTCATACTCCAATACACTACAGAATCCAGAAGACAAGGATAGATTTCTAGATATATATTCTATGTAGATATATGTGTATATCTATATGTGTGTATATATGTGTATAAATATATGTAGATATATGTGTGTATATATATTACCATGAGTTACCAAGACTGAACTAAGAATTCTGATATAAAAACCCTGAATAATACTTAAAATAAAGCAGTCGTAATAATTTTGTAAAAACCTACCGAGAAAAGCCCAAGACCCAATGGGTTCACCACTGAATTCTATAAGAACTTCAGGGAAGATCTATTGCCAGTACTTCTCAGAGTAAACTCCTTAATGAAATTAAAAGAGAAAGCATATTCCCAAAATCATTCCTGAACATTAGCATTATCCTGACTTCAAAACTAGAAAAGGACACAACTAAAAAAGAAAACTGCAGACCAATCATTTTAATGAATATAGATGCAAAACTCCTCCAAAAGTTTCTGGTAAACAATGCAACAAATCATCAAAAAGAACTAAAAAAAAAGTCCCCTTCCTTAGATAAAAGACCTAATCAAAAAATAGGCAACTGAAATGAATAAATACTTCTCAGAAGAACTACAAGTAGCTAATAAATACATGAAAAATGTTCCACGTCTCTGGCCACTAGAGAAATGCAAATTAAAACACTAAGATTCTGCCTTACTCCAGAAAGAATAGTTATCATGAAGAAATCAAATAATAACTACTGCTAGTGAGGCTGTGGGGGAAAGGAAATCACTTTATACTGTTGTTGGGAATGTAAACTAGTACCGCCACTATGGAAATCAGCATAAAGATTCCTCAAAAAAGTAAAACTAGAAATTCCATTTGACCTTTCTAGGTATCTTCCCAAAGAAGTTAAAGACACCATATGACAGTGACACGTGCACACTCATGTTAATAGCAGCACAATTCATCAGAGATAAATCTTGGAAGTAGCCTATATGTGCATCAACAGATGAATGGATAAGTGGAAAATATGGTATTTAAGTCCAATGGAGTATTACTCTGCTATAAATAAAGATAAATTTGAGTTAGTCACAAGAAAATGAATGTACCTTGAGATTATAATCTTAAGTGAAGTAAATCAGATACACAAGCTTAAACATTGCATAGTTTCTCCTATCTGAGAACCCCACAGTATAAATAAAGAACAAAATAAAAAATATATATAATAGGAAACAGAAAAATAGAAGTTCTGCAAAAGGGAAGAGGACCAAGAGATGGAGGAAGGGGGAAGAGAGGGAAGGGAAGGGGATAAAAAGAGAATTAAGTGTGATATGCACATGTAACAACTCCTTCCAATGAATGTAATCATCGTGTGCTGCAAACGTGCTAATAAAAACATTGAAAAAATTAAGAATGAAAATGGACATTCTTTTAAGTAAGACAGAGCTATTAAAATTTGTGACCAGCAGACTTGCACCAAAAGAAATGCCACAGGGTATTATTCCTCGGGACTTGGACAATGTCATCAGATTTAGAAAGAAAGAATGAAAGTAAATAAACTTAAAACATTAGGGTTTTATTTTCTCATAATTCCCTTAAAAGAAAACTATTTAAAGCACAATTTATAATTCCACAAGGTGGAATTCACAATGTATGCAGAAGTAAAAGGCATAGCAAAACATTAGGTCGAGAGAGGTGAATGGGACGGGCCTGGTGTAGGACAGCTAAACAGGTGTGTGACGTTGTAAACAGGAAGTATGAGAGTTCAGGTGTGAAGCAGGAAATGAAAAGTAGAAAGTTGGTGGGGAGCAGTGCAGAACTGACTCTGATACCTGATAACCACAAGATCACATAATGAAAAGTAAATTCCCTCCAGGAATTTGTCTAATAACTCCTAAAAAAGAGTTGAGATTCAAAAGCATGACTGTCATAATGAAATGGTGGTCTCTGGAATTTGAATTGTGGAGGAGGAGTCTCCTCTAGGTCAGTCAGGTAAGCTAACTGCTTGCTCCTCTGATGAGGGTCGGGCCTGACTCTAGCGTATGATTACCAGAACTTTCTGATTTTTTGCACATGGGATATATAAAGAATATGCTTTTTATATTTTACTGCCTATTTTCATGTATTCTTTTGCATATTATACCTTGATAGTGCTTTATGATAATGTTTTTGAAAGAATACATATGGTATGCTATGTTATCTTTTAATCTATTATACATTATTGTACCAACTACAGTCATCCTTTGAGAATTGGTTCCAGGATCCCCCTCAGATATTAAAATCCCCAGATGCTCAAGACCATCATATAAAATGACATCACGTCTGCATATAATCTATGCACATGCTCCTGTATATTTTGTATACTCTGATGCTCTAGATTACTTATAATACCTAGCACAATGTAAATGCTATAGTTGTAAAAAGTTCCACTGCATTGTTTAGGAAATAATGGCGAGGAAAATGTCTGTACATGCTCAGTACAGAGACAATTTTTTAATATCTTTTATATATCACTGGTTGAATTGCAAGTGCTTCACTCACAGATACAGAGAGCCAATTGTGTTAGTATCATGGTATTTTCTATTACAAGTTTGGGAAAAATAGGCCCATAACAGAAAATTACTAGACAGTGGAGCAGTCCCAAGAGCCAGCATAGTAAAGGACAAGAGAGGATCTTGACTTTTAGAAGCTAAGCCCTTTAAATGGTCAACATAACCTGAAAAGAATCGCTACTGGGATTAGTATGCATTAAGTCGAGACCTGAGAAGGAAGCACTTACAAAGGCCATGCGCATGTGAGTCAAATACAGCCCCTGTGTCTGCCTGGCTCCTCCCACATCCTCCTCTCTCCCTTCTTTCACTCCCTTTCTTACTATCCCTCACCCATCACCGGCCTCTGTCTCATCATTCTCACGGGTTCCCTAAGTCATTTCTCTGAACTCCCTA